AAGACGACAACAACGACAGCGGCCAGCAGGAGAAGAAGCAAGGGGATGGGGAGGAAGGTGTGGAGAGAAGAAGATGAGGGATGGGTGGAAGGACGACGAGAATGAGGCGGGAGGTGCTGGAAGGAAACGGAGGAAAAGGAAGACGAGTAAGATATGGAGGGCAGAGTGAGGGGATGGAGAGCGGAGGACAGAAGCAGATTGAGAGGCAAGGGAGAAACCCATGCCTGTCTCACTCAAGCGTGGCGTGCAGAGCGCTCAAACAAGTACAGTGAGCGTAGCGATTAAAATCCAGGTGAGAAACTGGGGGCCGACTGTCCTGGCTTACCCTGTAAGACTTGGCGAAGAGCTTCAGCTGAGCCTGCCCGTGGCTTCGCCACCGTCGCTGCCCCTGGAACCCTCGACGTCCTCCTCCTGGAACCGCTGCTGCTGCCCCTGCTGACGCTCCTTGCCACCACTCGCCTCTACCTCCTCCTCCTCCTCCTCCTCCACCTCCACCTCCACCTCCACCTCCACCACCTCCTCCTCTCCTCCTCCTCCTCCTCCTCCTCCTCCTCCTCCTCCTCCTCCTCCTCCTCCTCCCCCTCATCTTACTCGTCATCGGCCGCCTTCCTTTGGTGTCCTCATCATCCAGGTCCCCGAACTCAGCCCAGCCACGCCGTGCGGCGTGCGCGGCTGGAGGCTCCCTTCGCGCCCCGGCGAGGCCACCTTGCAGGCTGGCGGCTCTCTGTCCGAGGCCGCGACGCGCCAACCGCGATCACCTTTGCGCCCCTTGGAGCATGCTGCTCCCATTGCACTTCAAGACCACATCCCAGAACGAATTTCGGGCACCCAGAAGAGTACACCGGACTCACTTCTATAGCGCTCACTTCTATAGTGCTCACTTTGAAATTGTGGTCCGGAAGGGGCCGCACATGCAGGCACATGCCGCACAGTCGCATGCACATGCCCATGCAAATATACAAAAGCCTCAACAGCATTGCCGCACATGCGCGCACATGCCACACCGTCCGACGCACAGTCGAATGCACGGTCAAGCAAAACTCTGAAAGCATAGACGCACATGCCCGCACAGGCCGCAGAGATGTCGCAGGCGATAGTGGCCTGACCACCTGAGCTCGGGGCATTTCGCAACCCAGAAATGCGAGGATGTCTCAGGCAAGCGTGGCCGGACCACCATGGGGCAGGGCATCTTGGAAACCAGAGTGGCGAGGATGTCGCTGGTCAAGGTGACCAGACTACCATGGGGCAGGACGCCTCCGAGGTCTGAGTTGTGAGGATGTCTCAGGCGAAAATGGCCTGACCACCATGGGGCAAGAGATCTCTGAAGTCAGAATTGCGAGGATGTCTCTGGCGAGAGTGGTCTGACCACCTCAGCCCAGGGCGTCTCGGAACCCAGAGTTGCGAGGATGTCTCAGGCAGGAGTGGCCTGACCACCTGCTCAGGGCATCTCGGAACCCAGAGTTGCGAGGGTCTCAGGCGAAAAAGGCCGAGACACTATGGAGCAGGGCATCATTGAGGTCAGAGTTGCGAGGATGTCTCAGGCGAAAGTGGCCTGAACACCTCAACTCAGGGCATCTCGGGCGAGGATGTTTAAAGCGAGAATGGTCTAACCACCTCAGCTCAGCTCAGGGCGTCTCGGAACCCAGAGTTCTGAGGATGTCTCAGGCGAAAGGGGCCGAGACACTATCGAGCAGGGCATCATTGAGATCAGGGTTGCGAGGATGTCTCAGGCGACAGTGGCTGACCACCTCAGCTCGGGGCATATCGGAATCGAGACTTGCGAGGATCTCTCAGGCGACAGTGGCCTGACCAGCATGGGGCAAGAGATCTCTCGCTGCGTCCACGCGCGGTTTGCGCGCGGACGCGAACGCGCCGGCGCCCGGAGACGAACGCCGGCCCCGGCATTCTTGCACGCCCCGCACATGCCCCGCACAGGTACGCACAGTATTCGCACAGGCCGAGCTCGCCTATGGCCGAGCCAGGCCAGCGATTCCGACATTCCCTGAGCTCGGGCCGTCAAGCCACTCTCGCCTGAGACATCCTCGCTACTCTCACCTCCTCCTCCTCCTCCTCCTCCTCCTCCTCCTCCTCCTCCTTTTCCTCTGGCCGAGCCGAACAGGCGGGCGGGCCGGCCGAGCCGGGGGCGTCCGCCTCCTCTGCTCCCCCCTCCTTCCCCCCCCCTCCACCTCCCCCCCACACCCCTGCTTCTCTGGCCGAGTTGAGAAGGCGCGCGGGAGAGTGTTTCACTAGGAGGGCACGCCACCGCCAGCTCACGAACCGGGCGAAGAACCGCCCCCGCCAGCAGCGGGCGAGTCTAAACGCACAGCAAACTCTGTCAGGAAGCCCTGGCGCGCCCCAGGTTAGCTCTGCGATGGCCAGGAGGCGTTGGAGGCACAGGGGTCTCAGACAACTCCTCGGGCATGAGCGTGCATGTGCATTGGGATGTGCACGCATGTGCGCCCGCGCGCTTCACCGCATGTGCGTGCATGTGCGGGCCCGCGCGGCCTCCCGAAGAGAGGTTGCACAGGCATGTGCGTGCATGTGCCGATGACAGATCTGCGATTCTCGAACACCTCCCGCATGTGCAGGCATGTGCGCGCATGTGCGTCGGATTGTGCGTGCATGTGCGTATGATGGATACACCAAAACACAGCGCACATGCCCCCGCACATGCCCGGGCACGACGTGCACAGTAGGAAGTCCATCCACGAAGGGCGGCACAGGCCTGGCACATGACTGGCACATGCCGCGCACATGCGCGCACATGACAGCGCAAAAACGGCCGCACATACACCCACCCAGGGGTATAGATGTGAGTGCGGTGTATCGAAACAGCATCGAGCGAGCATCGCCTCCCAGGGCCCGACGCGTGACCCCCCCCCCGAGCGTCGGTACGTTCTTGGTGCTCGAGATTCTTTCTGGCGGTCAAGGCAAAGCTAGGCCGGAGCACCACAACCCTTGGCGTGGCCTCGATCATGGCCCTCGCTGGCTACAGAGGTCTCGAACGGGTGCTGCCCAACGAAAACAAACATGCATAAGAGCAGGATACACCAGCCGCGAGAGAGGCAACGGCAGGCCCCAAGAAAAACCGGACCAGCGGGCTCTGAAGGGACCCATCGGGGGGGACTTCGCGGTCCGAAACGTGGCGACGGGCAGCCACCTTCCGCGCGGACCTCCCGAGGTCCCTCGACCCTTGTCCTCCTCGACCTCCTCCAGGCCCTCCTCCTCCTCCTCCTCCTCCTCCTCCTCCTCCTCCTCCTCCTCCTCCTCCCTCTCCTCCTCCTCCTCCTCCTCCTCCACTCCTCCTCCTCCTCCTCCTCCTCCTCTCCTCCTCCTCCTCCTCCCTCCTCCCTCCTCCTCCTCCTCCTCCTCCTCCTCCTCCTCCTCCTCCTCCTCCTCCTCCCTCCTCCTCCTCCTCCCCTCCCTCTCCTCTCCTCCTCCTCCTCCCCCTCCTCCCCCTCCCTCTCCTCTCCTTCCTCCTCCTCCTCCTCCTCCTCCTCCTCCTCCTCCTCCTCCTCCTCCTCCTCCTCCTCCCCCTCCTCCCTCCTCCCCCTCCCGCTCTTCCTCCTCCTCCTCCTCCTCCTCCCTCCTCCTCGTCCTCCTCCTCCTCCTCCTCCTCGTCCTCCTCCTCCTCCTCCTCCTCCTCCTCCTCCTCTTCCTCCTGCGCGTGGCTGTCCCACTCGGGCTCCGCCGCCCTTGCGGGTGTCCGGAGATGTCCAGGTGCATCCCCAGGTGCCAGGAGCCTCAAAGTCTTCCAGGGGCTCGCGGGTGCATCCAGAGACGCACAATATCGAGGGCCCAAAACGTCCACAAGCCTCGAACCTGGATCTTCGATCCACATACTCCTCCTCCTCCTCCTCCTCCTCCTCCTCCTCCTCCTCCATTCCTGTTGCTTGCGAGCAGCTCCGCCGCTCCCTCCTCCTCCTCCTCCTCCTCCTCCTCCTCCTCCTCCTCCTCCTCCTCCTCCTCCTCCTCCTCCTAGCACCACCAGTCACGTTGGTAGGGCCAGCTGAGCAGTTCGCCTGCAGTATCCTCACGGCTTCTCACTCTCCGACGGTTACACTGACGGAGAGCGGACGGCTTTCAGTGTGGCTCTCGCCTTAGCAAGGCGCATGCGTATCGAGGGCTTCAAACAGCAACGTACACGGATGGAGAGCGGCTAACTGTAGGCATTGTTGCGCTCGCGTTAGCTCCGCGCACCTTTGCCCCAAACATTTCCAACAACTGCATGGATGGAGCACGGGTCGTTTCCAAGAGGGGGGTCCAGCCTCCGCGCCGAGCACACTGGTACCCGACGTCCCCGACAAAAGCACGGACTGAAGGTGGCGCCCTCATCTTGGGCAAGAACCGACCGTCCCCGCATTCATACGGGCCCACCATGTTCTCACAATGCGTGTACAACAGAACCGATGCACTAGCACAAGACGGTCTCGGCCAGAAATACTCTCCGAACGTGTCGTGCACACCACAAGAGAGGCTCGTAGAACACTCTGTGGTGGGTCTATCGGCAAGCCGGGACGCCTGGCCGCGCGTGTCGAGACCTCGCTCACGCTCGAGCTGTGTCGGCCGCCGCCGCCTCGGAGGCAGCTATGGCTGTCCATGGGGAGCGAAGCCCGCCACCCTCCCCGCCCTTGGAGGCGCCCCTCCTCTCCGCCCCTTCGAGGGCCGAGGTGGCCGGAGGGGGGTACCCAGCGGGAAACTCGGGGTGGTGGGCCCTGCTCTCCTCTCCTCCCTTTCCCCGCTCCCGCGCACGCCGTGCTTCGCAAAACGCTGGCTTGAGACTTCCTCTGACGGGCCTGGTTTCCGCCACCACTACCGTAGGTAGGAGAGGGAGGAGGGGGAGGGGGAGGGGGAGGGGCAGGGGGAGGGGAAGGGGAGGAGGAAGAGGAGGAGGAGGAGGAGGAGAAAGAGGAGGAGGACCTACCCATCCTCTTCCCTCCCCCGTCCTACCTATGGTAGTGGTGGTGGAACGATGGCCCATCACCACGGGCGAAACAAAAAGCGCAACCGCCAATACGGCTGGAAGGCGACACCGTCTCGCGAGGGGGAGGGGGACGTCGCCCGCCGCTGACGCTCAGAGCGCACGGCCATGGCGATGCCAAGGGGTGCAACGGCTACGCGCACGGAGGGTGGCCCATGTCAGGGCGTGGCGCCCGCTAGACGCTCCTTCGAAGTGTGTGTTCATACGGACTTTGGTACTCATTACAACTAGGGTGCCCCTTGCTCGAATCGGGGGCGCTGCTCGCACGAGTGGCAAGGCTTTCTGGTGGTTTTCTTTCATTGGGGCGCTCCACGCAGGGAAGAGGCCTGCTGGCAATGATCAGTCTGGAAGGGCCTTGGGACGGCAGGGTGCAGTGCAGCATCGCTGATGCATTCTGGGTTGCCTCTGGCCAGCCTCCTCTCAGTCATGGTGACGAGGAAGAGGAAGAGGGGCAGGATGGCGAAGTCATCATGACCTACGGCGAATGACTCGCTCATCATCCATTGACTTTCTATCGTCCTCATCCTGGCCGACGCGTGGCGAAGCATGGCCGCCGTGACCGTTGCAGCTCGGACCAGCACCGCCCTGGAGATCCCCCAGAAGGATCTGCGAGGCGGAGAAATGCAGGAATCGGACATTTCTGCAGATCCACCTCCTTTCACCTCCATTCCCCGTCCTCCTCTGATTGTTGTTCGTCCACTGCACGGGAGGCTGAAAGGGAAGGAACGAGGAGGTCCTGTATAATTAGCTGCCCTACTCTGATGTTCTGCACGTGCCTTGCCCTTTTTGGGAGGGGTTCTCGGAGGCCTCTGGGGGGGCCTCCGGACTCCTCTGGAGCCCCCCCGCCTCCACTGGAGGGCGGAGGCCAGATTGGGGCGCAGAACGACATGCTGCTGTGCGTCACCCTTGGAGGCGAGTGTCCGACTACACCATACGGTACAGCGGGCAGCGGATGGCTATCCAAGCCGTATGGCCAACAAACGCCCGCCACTGCGCGCACACTGCGAGAGGTTTCGAGAGCGCTCGCGCCGCGACGCCCAGGGCCGGCCCGCACGTCGTAGGAGTACGGGGGTGGGTGCTGCGGAGGAGCGGAGAGGAGGGGCATCGGAAGCAGTACCGCGGAGAGGCGAGGAGCCAGGCGCAGGAGGGGCAACAGAACTCGGGAAGCGGGAGCAGGGAATTCGGACAGGGAGGGAGGGAGGCGAAGGGAGAGAAAGGATGAGGGGAGGAGGACGCAGGAGTGGGGAGGTCGCAGTGAGGGAGGAGGTAGGCGGACGGAGGAAGAAGGCATGGAGGGGAAGGAGGGCGGAAGGGAGGGAGGAGCAGGAGGAGGGAGAAAGACAGAGAGAGAGAGAGAGGGAGGAGGGAGAAAGATGAGGGAGGGGGAAAGAGAGAGAGAGGGAGACAACTAGGGAGAGGAATAGGGGTCAGAGGAAGAAGGGGGGGACGTGGGCAAAGATTGAGCGCGAAGGGTAGACGGGCAAGGGCCTTCAGGTTCCGCACCAGGTAGCCCGAGGTGTGGATGTCGTGGCCGAAGATGTCTGCAAGGCGGCCGATACTCGGCGGCTCAAGGGAGGGGGGACCTCGGAAAGGGGGTGGGAGGGGGAGGGAGGACCGAGGCAGAAAAAGGCCTCTGGGGCCATGCGGCCACTGACTCGCCTCACAGTGCGGCTACAGCACCGTCTGGGGTCCCCCGAAGGATGGAGGAAAGATGGAGGAGGGAGCCAGGAGGAGGAGGAGGAGGAGGAGGAGGAGGGAGGGGAGGAGGATGAGGATGAGCAGGAGGAGGGAGGAGAGGAGCAGGAGGAATAGGGGGAGGAGGAGGAGGAGGAGGAGGAGGAGGAGGAGGAGGATGAGGAGGGAGCGAGGAGGAGGAGGAGGAGGAGGAGGCAGGAGGGGAGGAGAGGGGGAGGAGGAGGAGGAGGAGGAGGAGGAGGAGGAGGAGGAGGAAAAGGAGGAGGAGGAGGAAGAAGGGGGAGGAGGAGGAGGAGGAGGAGGAGGAGGAGGAGGAGGAGGAGGAGGAGGAGGAGGAGGAGGAGGGGAGAGGGTCAAGGAGGGAGATGTGCGCCCGCGCCACGCCAGACTCCACCCACGCCGCGAGCTCCTCGCGTGGGCTCCAGGAATCCAGCTCCACGCGACGGCTCTTTTACACGCGGTCGTCAGCTCCAGTGCCCCCAGCCGCGCCGTTTGATATGATGTGCTGGGCACACCCGCCCAAGAGGCACCACTGTCAGCACAATTATGTTGCATCCTCGGGGGACCTTGTATGTCCCGTCGCGGCCCTGTCCGCGTCGAATCCGTGTCGAATCCATGTCGGACGCGTCGGATCCGTGTCGAATCCGTGTCGAATCCGCGTCGAATCCACGCCTCATCCGCGTCGAGTCCGCATCGAGCACGCGTCGGCCCTCCAAAAAAACACCAATTTTGGGGACAGGCGAGGTCCCCCGAAGATGCAACAGAAGCACATTCGCCACCAAAGACTGCCTTTGGGAACACGTCATCGTCAACATGAAACGTGAGCCCGATGCTCAACCATCTCGCGAGCTCAACCGTGTGACTGACGCTTCGATCGCTTGGAATGGACAGCAGTCAACTTCTATTTGACGGCCTCTTGATCGCCTGCAAGCTTGAACAATTCCTCCTGCCCATAATCGAAGGGTGTGGTACGGTCTCGCTATGTCGCACTGGACGCTGCGATCCCAGCGTCATCGCCTTCACCTGTAGTGGTAGGGCCATCAAGAGGCTCATGAACAATTACTTTCGTTGGCAATCAATGTGCTGTCTTTGCGATACGCTTCTGACGTGCCGTCCGAACATCATGGTTCAAACACGCCTCTGACTTTCGGAATATCTGCTATATCGAGACGGAACAATCATGAAAGGTCTGGGACCCGTTCGGGAAAGGGTGCACTCTCAGGTGTGAATGCCGTCGCCGTCTCAACGAAGACGATCTCCAAGTGCGCGAGATCCTTAAGAATCGCTGTGATCTCAGCGTCGATCTGTGTCATAGACTCCCTGAGCACCTCGAACATCTTGCTCCTCTCATCCAAGTCATGTTGCATCCTGCCGAGACTGAGCGTGGCGCGTGCCAGGGCAAGGTTGCCCGACGACGTGTTCCTGCCTGCGCAGATCGGCACTCCGTGTGGTCGGCCCATGTCTCTGTGGCTCGACCGTCACCTGGCTTCCGCAACGTGTCATCTGTGTCATTGAGGCGCTTGAACGTCTTCATGATCAACAATAGCTTACCATGATCGTATCTCGCTTGGTAGACTCCGAGTCACCCCCATCGGTCTTAATGAATCCATCGTGGTCCTTCGTCGACGGCGCGGGTCGGAACGGCGGAGGCTAGGCTTCCGTACCGTGGGGTTGTGGTTGCCCACGGCCCTTCTCTAAAAAACAGTCGGGGTGACGGCCTGTAGCAACTAGGACATATGAATATTGCGCTCATGCGTCTTCTCACTCGCAACTTTGTACTATCTGTTCTTTATGCCACCCCCTTTACCCGTACCGCTGCCGTGCTTGCTGCCCTGAGACTCCCACTCTGCCGCCTGCTCCTTCGCACACTGCTGCACTCTCTGCGGTGCTGGGTTGCCGCACTACCAAACAACTCGTGATACCCAGATATGTGATGCCCTACAGTGGCTACAATCCCATACTGGGCATCGTATCCTTGACAACACATGCTGCGCAGGAGGCGCAATGGGATACGCTCGTTGGCTATGGAAGCGCCTGACACTCTGGCGCCGACGCGAAATCTCGGAAACTGCTGCGGATCAGAGGTACACATGCGCTCAGCAAAGGGGGGAAGGACCTTGCATCTGGTGCCAAACGGCTACGGAATGGGAAGAAGGGGAGAGGGGGAGCAGGGAGGGGAGGCGAGACGGAAGGCGAAGCCAGATGGAAGGGAGGAGGGCGGAGGATGATGCGAGAGGGCTCGGACCGCGCGAATGTTGCGAGGTGCTAGTGGGCTCGCGGGGTTCTGGGGGGTTCGTGGGAGGTGCCAAGCTTCCAGGCGGATGGGAAGAGGGCGGGGAAATAAAAACGATGCAGGAGGAGGATGGACGAGGGACGAAGAGAGGCCCTTAGGTACAGTGATGGCCTCATGTTAGTCCTAGTCCCCCCCCCCTAGTTGTCCTGCACTCCTCCTCCTCCTCCTCCTCCTCCTCCTCCTCCTCCTCCTCCTCCTCCTCCTCCTCCTCCCCCTCCCCCCCCTGCCCCTCCCCCTCCTCTTCTCTCTCCCCTCCCTCCTTCTTCTCCTCCTCCTCCTCCTCCTCCTCCTCCTGGTTCCTGCTCCTCCTCCTCCTCCTCCTCTTGTCCTCCCCCTCATCCTCCTTCTCCCTCATCCTTCTCTTCATTTTCCTGTTCCTCCTCCTCCTCCTCCTCCCCTCCTCCTCATCATCATCATCATCAACATCATCATCCTCATCATCCTCATCCTCATCCTCATCCTCATCCTCATCCCCATCCCCCAGCATCTATCCTCATTCCTCATCCTCATCCTCATCCTCATCCTCATCATCCTCATCATCCTCATCATCATCATCATCATCATCATCATCATCATCATCAGCATCACATCATCATCAATCATCATCATCAGCAGCATCATCATCAGCATCAGCATCATCATCATCATCATCAGCATCATCATCATATCATCATCATCATCATCATCATCAGCATCATCATCATCAGCATCATCATCATCATCATCATCATCATCATCATCATCATCATCATCATCATCATCATCATCATCATCATCATCATCATCATCGTCATCATCATCATCATCATCATCCCATCTCCCCCCAACAATCACTCCTGTCTGCCTCCTCCAGAGGATCATGTCTCGCTCTTCTTCTTCTCCTCCCCATCCCTCAATCTCCCCTTCCTCCTCCCATATCCCCTGTACCCCTCGTCTCATCTTCACCGCACTCCGCCTCCAGATTTTACCCCTCCCCCCTCGTGCCCTCCACCATCACTCCTAGCCCTTCCACGTGTCCCCGCTCCCTCGCCTAGCCCCCCTACACCTCCTGCACCTGCTCCTCCTCCGCATCACCCCTCCTCCCCCATCCTCATGCTCTTCCCCCTCCTGCCTCCCTCCTCCGACCCCTCCTCGCCCACAGCGTGCTCCGAAGCTCCCCGTCCTCCGGAGCTCCTCCTGCCCCGAAGCTCCCCCCCTCCTCTAGCAGCCCCCGAGCGCCATAGCCCCCCAAAGGCTCCCCCACATCGAGCCGCCGCGATGTACTCCGGCGATATCAGGGGCTCCTCGGCACGCTGCGCAGGGAGAAGGGTGAGAGAGAGAGAGAGACAAAAGAGAGAAGAGAAATAAAGAAGAGAAGAGATATAAAGCAATGAAGAGAAGAGACAAAAAGAGGGAGAGAGAGAGAGAGAGAGGAAAAGGAAACCATGATACATATAGAGAGAGAGACTGTATAAAGATATTGGGAGGGAGACAAAGAGAAAGCAGGAGGGAAAAGAGAAGAGACAGGGAGGGAAGAGACGAACGGAGAAGAGAGAATACAAAGAGAGAGAAGGAGACAAAACGACGATGATAGCGAGAGCGAAGCAGGAGAGAGAGAGAGAGAGAGCGTGCGAGAGAGGGAGGGAGAAGACAGAGAGAAAGAGAGAGAGAGAGAGAAACAAAAAAAAAAAAACAAAAAAAAAAGGAAGAAGAGAACCGACATGTAAATATATATCAATGAGAGAGTCAGAGAGAGAACCCAAAAATAGGTCTGGGATATTGTAGATCAGAGAAGGACATACTGCATAATAGTGTCACCGATGAGAAGACACGCGAACATATATAGTCCCTACAAAGAGAAAGAAGAAGGTTGAGAGACGCGGTGGGTAGATGTGTAAATGGGCAGTGAGGGAGAAATGGAGAGAGAGAGAGAGAGAAAAAAAAAAAAAAAGAGGGAGAGAGAGAGAGAGAGCGAGAGAGAAGAGACAGGGCACAGGGGCAAGTCCAAGAGGATGAGGCGCAGAGGAGAGCTCGGGGCAGCAGCGTCGGGCGCAGAGGAGCGAGCGAAGCCGAAGTGCCGGGGGAGAGCGGGCCACCTGAGCTCGCGACGCGTCAGGGAGCCAAGCGCCCTGGACGCCGCGAGCGTTCGGGCGTTGGCGAAGCTGGGTTTCGTGGGACCTGGTTTAGGGATGTGTGCTGGGGGGCGCCCCCGCCGCCCCGTTCCACTGACCGGAACTGCCGTCGCCCGAGGAACACCAGACCTGGTTAGTGACTCTTGCCGAGTTAGGGGCTTCGGGAGCGGCCAAGAGGGGAGTGTCCAGGAGGGGGGGGTGCAAATCATGACTGGCGGCACGTGCGCGGCCCAGCGGGGGGGGGCGAGGACGTAATGAATCAAGAAGAGGCGCCCTGAGATCTGGGGAGATATCATGGCCCCCGCCATGATATCCACCCCCCCTAGTCATCACCCCCCTCTTTTCCGCCCCCGAGGGCTTCGGGGTCCTACCAGTGGATGCCCTTATCCGGTGTCCTGGCTATACCCGGAGCGCACGCAGCGGACAACCTGGATAGAAAAAGGAGGATGCCCAGCAACGGGCCCTATGTTCAGGTCGGGCGTGTCCTCCGACAGGCGGGTTCTGGAGGAGAACTTAGGAATAACCCAAACATGGAATATTCAAAATTATCAAGACTAATGAAAGATCGCATCGAGACTATGGAGGAGAACTTAGGAATAATCCAGACATGGAATATTCAAAAATTGTCAAGACCAGTGAAAGATCGTCTCGAGACTATGCTGTTGACTGCTTTTGAATATTCCTGCTGTCGAGGGACGTGCGCGACTTAACCTTATGACGCATCTTCGGGCAATCTTGTCTGTCCCCTGCCAGCGTCCTCACAACAGCGTCGGATCCGCGCCAGATCAACGTCGAACTTGTCGGGCCCGCGTCGAGGCCAAATCAAGTCCGCGCCGGATCCGCGCCGAGTCCGCGCCGAATCTGCGCCGAACCCGCGTCGGGCACAAGGAAAGCAATGCTTACTGCAGGACAGACAGAGGCCCCCCGAAGATGCAAAGAAACAGGCGCTGTCCCGCACCGATGGCGCCCGCTGCCGAGCAGGCGCTGCGCTCCTCTCGTTGGAACACCGGAAGCGGTTCTCATCGGAAGGAAAAGGGGAGGAGGAGGAGGAGGAGGAGGAGGAGGAGCAGGAGGAAGAGGAGGAGGAGGAGGGAGGAGGAGGAGGAGGGAGGAGGAGGAGGAAGGGATCCTGGGGCACTTTCTTCAGAATGGCTGTCGGCACTCGCCTCGTTGAGCAACGGGCCCCCCCTGAATCTGGAGAGGGGGTCAGACGGCCGAAGCCAGCGCCGACGAAACGTGCAAAATCGCCGAATGTGTGGACTACGACGCTGGAGGCCAAGAAGCGAAGGCTGTGCATTGTGAATTCTGCGATTTGAGATTTGGTTGTGCACTGTACAATACAGGACGACGTCCCGTACTGTTTCCACCCTCATGTCGGTCCTCCTGACAGGGAGCGAGTAAGAGAGAGAGAGAGAGAAGA